CCTGTCCTAGGCAGATGGATAGCTGTGTTCTTCCTAGAAAAGGGAACCTGTTGTTACCTGTCTCAGATCCAACATCCTGGCTTTTGACTGCTTGGATCAGAGGCTTTGCTGGTCAGCCTGTTAGACCCAACTAGGATTAGCTTGGCAAGCTAAATCCAAGAACCTCTTGTCAATGTGGGGGTTGTATTTTTTCAATCTGTTGTTTTTCTAACTTGAACGAGCTCTGGTTGGTGTAGTGAAATGGGCAGGGCTCCACAATCCATGTGGCAGTCTCAGTGCAATCGGTGCTCCTGGGGCAGTTCTGTGGCAAGCAAACCCCCTTGTTATCTGCTGCTGGAGGAGGAGATGCACCAGCTGCAGCATCATCCCCCGCCCTTTCTCCTTCAGGTGAAGGAGAAGGGAGTCTCGAGTGTTTCCTAAGCTGTAACCCTCTGAAATCACTGGTCCAAAAGCGCATGCCTGTAATGTGTGGTGTGGGTCTGCTGGATGCACATGCAGTACGTCCATTGTCATTCCTTCCTCCATTTTGTGACAGTGGTGCCAAGTTCTTGCCTGGTCTCTTTGCAGAGCACCCAGTACTACGACATGCGCTGGTCCTGTGAGCACCTCATCATGGTGTGGATCAATGCCTTTGTCATGCTCACCACTCAGCTGCTGCCTCCCAAGTACTGTGACCTGCTCCACAGATCAGCTGCCCACCTCGGCAAGTGGCAGAAGCTAGAACATGGTTCCTACAGCAATGCTCCACAGCATATGTGAGTCTGGGGGTGGGGAGGGGTTGGCATGCTCAGCAAGGGGCTGAGAAGGCATTCTATGAGCAAATATCAGCAGTGCTTATGTACTGAGGACAGTTCTCCATTCCCCATGCGACTCTGCTGGTCCTTCTGTTCCCTAGAAACATAAACATGTGCTCTAGAGAGCTGTCTGAGCTCCTCTGGTCACTGCTGGCTCCTTCCCAGAAACAAATGCTGAGATTCTTGGCCACTTGTGCAGGGGCAGGGAGTGGGCTAGGTTCTTGCACTGGGAGCCGTTTGTTGATGTTACTCAGAGTCCATCTGGTGGGCTTGTGATCACCTCTCTGCTTTTCCAGTGGGAACTAGACGTCCTAGTGGCAGAGGCTGTGGTATTCTTCAAGATGCAGTCCATTCCTGTGAACTCACATTCAGGCA